CGGACATTAAGACCCTTTTTTTCTAATCCATCTGGCTCCCAATTTAAGCAAAGGGGCCCCACAAGGATTTTCAGGGGTTAACGCTTCTCCCCCCCCCCTTTACTTCTTATTTGCTCCCAGTTGTACATATTGTAATTTGTAAGTCATGATTATTGAATAAGTATCTCCAATGACGTTTCAACTAGCCCAATTTGATTTCACATGTCCCTCCAACTATGAAAGCTACTTTTGTTTGCTCATATCTAAATAATATAATACTGAATTACACTTTATTTTTGCCCTGGAAATATCCAAAATACATGAACCTACCCATAGATTCTTCCCATGTGAATAGGGAGCAGGGGGACATAGCGACTAGATTGTAGTCTGAAGCTTGAACTGCAAAATCCTTGATATATATGTATGTATATATTAAGCTCCTATTGCCCTAACGAAAGTAGTCCCTTGGCACTTTAATTGGAACCCTTTGGGTCATGCTTCTCTGTCAATATCATATTTTAGACCTTGGTTGAATCCATCCGGAGACCAACAAATACTGGAACCATATGTATTTTGCATTATGCGAGTGTGAGAGACAGAGTTTTCTGCCAGAAAAAAAACACACACACACACACACACACAGAGGCATTAGTGGTAACAAAGACACAGTCGATATGAATTAAAATTGTTTAGCATTAAAGTTGGTGCATAAATCTGTTAGTGTGGTGAGGAAAACTTTATGATTGGGTCAATCCCAAGTTGAGACTAAATCAATTAAAGATCAAAGATTCTTAGACCACCATGATTAGGCCATATCATATCATTTGATGGGTGGGGGCGTGAAATGTTCTGTTCTCCCCATACAAACGAACTCTCTGTACTTAGGACAGGCTCTATAGAAACAGTTGCCTGCCTATATTATTGGATGGAGAGTTTGCTTTGATTTAAAGCAAATTGAGGAAAAAACAATATGAAATGGCACGAAGTTGAAAGGTTTGTTTAGAATTAGGGTTGATTTTGTGGGGTTGTGCGAATATTGAGTGCAGAGTTGAATCTTGAATGCTTAAGATTGTTGACAGGGAAACAAAAGCATATGGTACCTGGTATGTGTGAAGACATGAATAGTTTACAAGGTCTTTTGGTAGGTAATGGGCCATCTTCTTCTACTCACTATTCCCCCACATGCCAACGCTTGACTCTCTATCATACAGATTATTACAGATTAATCATGCAACACTTATTCAAAAGAAAAAACAAATAATCTTATACCATATTTATATAAACAGCAGCAATATTATACATTTGTCCATGCAAGTCAGGATTATTCTTATAATGTGTTATGGAACAAACTTTGGGGTTCATCCATGTGTCTGCTGCTGTGGGGCTAATTTTGGTGCGTCCCATCATCTGTGTTCCATATGCAAACGGCTACATTTGAATAAAAACACGGAGGCTGTGTAAATGACGCGTGTAGCCAACATCATCGGATGAGGGTCAATAATAGAACTGTTCAATTTTTCTGATGATTAACTATTAGGGTTTTCACAAAGTATGTGAGAAGGGGAAACAAGGGAATCTTTTGTTGGGTTCTTTAACTTTATTTCTTTTCTTTTTCGCCCCCAAAAGCTGCGTAGGTGGTGAAATACAGAGCCATATGAGGAGTGAAATGTAAAAGTTGGTGGCAATTTTCTTATTTGGGAGGAGTGCTTCATGCTTGCCGTTTGTTTGTTTAGGCCGAAAGAAAAGAACAAGTAACATGAGCAATAGGAAAAAGAGGACGTGAGGAAGGAATAGAAGGGACACAAGAGAAGAGAGAAGCATGCAGCATGTATGTATATGTATGTGGAGGATTGAAAGATTTGGACTTTTGTGTCTTTATATAGTTTATACATATCTATCTCTTGATTTATGTCTTGATTTCCAGCTAACATGATACAAGTAATACGCAGAAAAGGTCAGAAAGTGATGGAAATATGTGTCAAAGAGGGAGGGGACCCACCCATTTATATACGCGTGAAGTGGGGCCCAAGAAGAACACAAACATGGGTGACGATGGAGAGCAAAAAGCCAAGGTAGCTAGGAAGCAAAGCTTGTGTATTTATTTAATGAATTGAATTAGGGTAATGTCATCTCCTGCTGATATACATATATGTATATAAATTATAAAGGGGTTAGGGAGGGAAAGAGAGAAAACCTGAGCGTCTCATGGTTTGTGGGCTTTTATTGAGTCATTTGTCCGTGTCTGTCTTTCAATCACATGCAAGCTTCGGCTAACATGCTCCATCCATTGAATTCAACCCTCCCAACCAAAAAATAATACTTACAATAATATAGTCAGCTGCGTGCTTTCAGGGGATAACCCTAACATGCCATTCTTCTCCCCTTATCATTTTTTTTTTTGCCCTTCTGATAAACAAACTTGATAGCTTGTCTTTTTCTATATGTTCATCCCATCTCCAACCTTCATAGTCTATACACAGACACATTACGTACGTGGATATCAGTATCTTCCCTGTGAGTCCTCTAATCTGTCTTGTCTTTTTTATTGCTTTTCCACGTCTTGCTTACTAGTTACATTATACTACTACAATGAGATAGATGCAGTAAAGGGATGAGGGCATTAATTAGATTTCACAGGTGATGATATGGAAGGTCAAAGAGAAGTTAAATGAGGATGGTCAAGTTGCAATAAGTAAGATCACGTTCAGTTCGGGACTTTGGGGATTGAAGTGAGAAATTTGACGCACGACGCGGTTTTAATTTGTTGCTGTCACAAAGCTCAGCAAAAGATGGCGATGTGACTGCCTTCCCTTGGTCTTCCCCGCACTCTCTGGGATTTTGTCTCTCCGTTACCCTTCATAAAAGAAAATGCAATATTTGATAATATATATGTCTGTTCTAATAATTCTCATTCATATGATAACTTCTTCTCAGGGACGCGCAAAGAAATTAACAGGCACTCTCATCAATTCGGTCTTATAATTCAGGGAAATTCATACGATATATCAAGTGAAGTTGTCGCGTGTATCAGATGCCCCGTGAATATGAATGTTAAGATCACTTGTCCTTTTTTGGCTTTTGTATTATTATTACTCTCTAGCCAATCACAGACAATGGAAAATTTTAATTTGAAATCATGTGTGTGCAGTTAGTTTCCAAGCATGTGCGTCTCCCTATTTTACCTCCACCAATGAGAAATCGATGGAGACCAGAGGAAAAAAAAGTATATATCCTATTGTCCTCTACCAAACATTATGGGAATCCAACAGCTCCACTGATGGCCTTCCTATAATTAGATATATCTGGTCACGGAGGAAATGTAATTCCTCATTAATACATTACCACATCAAACATAAAGACAATAATAATAATAATAAGTCCCACTCATTTGTGTCTATTTCTCCCATAACATTGCTTAAAATCACTTCAAGGGATCTAATAATAAACTGCTGATATATAAAACACGCAAACACACATATATACATAGAGTGTGATTGTGTTTGATTAGGTGAAGCTGGGACAACATATGGAGAGGAAGACATCAAGTTTTAGATTGATTGGTGAGGATGGGGAAGCACATGCTTGGTGCTACAAACTTCCAAGATTTGGAGGTAAGCAAACCAACAACCACACCCCCATGTGCTTGGGGCTTTTCTAATTAATTTTGTCCATACGCGCGCACACAGGTATATATGCTCTTGTGTTTTCTTCTTCTGGTGTTCCGCAGGTCATTTCCGTAATTCAAAGGTAACTCCCCATAATTATTATAACGTTTTAATTACTAACCACTACATTCCTTCCTTTCTTTTTCCTCAGTCGTGTGGGATACATTACACGGCATTTCAACACTGGTGATGACTAATTAATGACTAATTCTGCCACATGACAGCTTAGCTTGTGTCTGTCGTCTTAACTACCAATATGGCTTCACAGAAGGGGCAGTCGTTTGAAATTAGGCCTAAAGCTGCGATAATCAAGGAACCTTAATACTCGCGAGTCTTTGTTCGGGGACGCACCAAAACAAGAGAAAAAAGAAAAAAAGAACTATTGTCCTGTGACTGGGAATTGATGTGCGGAAAAGGACACCGCGCAGCCAGTAGTTTTGAGTTTCTCGGTCTGTAAATATACAGTGACCCAAGAAAAATATTGCACCTTTCATTGGCCATAGAATTTGCTTTCCACCCACGCACGTTGTATTCAAAATACAAACACAGCAAAACGGAATTGGTCTAATGGAATGGGATAAATTAAAGTTTGAATTCTTGTTGAGTGAGGTGTCTTAATAGAAGTTATTTCTATAGGAGCATATTTGTCCTTGACGAAAAGAAAATTACATGCACAAAAAAAAAAAGTAAAATAGCATTGATTTTTTAGGATTAAGATGATGACTGTAAAATATTAATCTTCCGGTCCTAAATATAAAAACCTTAGAATTGGAGGGGTAATACATTTGGCTGGGAAAAAAAAAAAAAGATTACATTTGACGTCGTAAGAGTTAAAGAGCACCGTGTAGTGCGCATTAGTAACATATATTTACTTTTACTATAAACAATAGCACGGGATATATTTTACTGAGATAAATCAAATCAGTGGAAAATAAGTGCGACCAGTCAAGCTGACTCGTCTAATTCGTCATTTGACCAGCCTGATTTCAGCTCATGAGTTGAATGAATTAATTAAACCTTTAAGATATGCTTGAAATGTAATCTGCAAACCTGGTCAAAAAAATATAATCTGCAAAAAAAAAAAACATGTTATCAATTCGATCCTTCTCCGATCTTTAGCTGTTTGGTGTTATTTTCTCAATTATTAAAAATTGAACATGCTATTTGAGGGTCGAGTTTAATTTTTTCACGTGGCAGTATACTTTTTTTTTTGAAGGTCTTGATTGACCCAAAACTGAAAAGGACTGGACCAATAAAGTTTGGGCCCTTTCCATTCGTCACCATTTAGGTTGCAGATAGCCCATTTAGGCAGCCCAACCGGTCCACTCTTTAGAAGGAGTCTATAAGAAAACAAGGCTGATTAGGGTTTCGTGTTTGGTGGTATCTGCCTCGATCTCTTGGCGCCGAGGATCTCTGAAGACGAAGTGAACATGGTAATGATCGTAATCTCATTGATGTAGCAGTGTGTTTGTGCTGTTTGATGGCCTTTTTTATCCTCTTATTGGGTTTGAATCATGTGACAGCCGTCCCACAAGACCTTCAGAATCAAGAAGAAGCTGGCCAAGAAGATGAGGCAGAATAGGCCTATTCCCTACTGGATCCGCATGAGGACCGACAACACCATCAGGTTATTAGCGATATTTTTTCTGAATCCCTTTTGCACCGTCTCAATTCTTTTTGTTTCTCACTATGATAAGTTTTCTTGTTCAGGTACAACGCTAAGCGTCGACACTGGCGCCGCACCAAGCTTGGATTCTGAGCTGTTTCCCTGCGCTCTGCCTTCCATTCCTTGGGTTTTTTTTTGTTTTTTTGGGATTTAGGCTTTAGTTTTTAAACAATGATTCCAGAAATGTTGCTTTTGCTTCTCTTTCCAAAGAATTAGTATGTTATAGTTCACTGATTGCGGCTGCCACAATTTATTTTTCAGTAATTTGGATGTTCTTCATATCTCGCCCCATTTGATCTCAATTTTGCTTTCCATAGAGTCGTGGTTGACTGTTACGCTCGTGCTACGTCGTATGAATTGAACCTCTAAGCAAGCTTGTCTGTGCGCTGATTGGTGTGCCTACTCTGCTGTACTATGATGTGTTTGCTTAATTCATTTGCGAGGTTTTCTTTAATCACAAAACAAGGGTTTCGGTTGTCTGCTTGGGTATCCTCACTCCTTCGTTAATGTGGGAGAACCAGGAGCGAATGTTTTTGCACACTATGAGCAAGTGAAAATTAGTTTCATTTTCCCCCTCTACTAGATTTTTATTGCTACTAAATATTCAAGCTTTTACTCCCTCGGGGTTCTCAAGTCGCCAAGAGTCTAGGGAGTACTTGCTACGGTTTTTATTTTTCGCTTCTTTGAAATATAATATTAAATTTTTAATATGGGTAAATTTGAGAATTCATGTTCAAATGGATTATAGTTTGATTGTTGAGTTTTGGATTAGACGCATAGGAGGAGTGCATAGTACTACTCCCGGTTTTTAATATAAGATCTTATTTGATTTTTATTTTGGTTTTAAGTATAAGATTTTAATATATTTTGTCTATCATATTTATTCAATTTTTTTCAAGATAATTATTCTAATAATTATATTTCTAGTTAATATACTTGATTAGCAAGGATATTTTAAGAAAGATAACACATATTTAGAACAAATAATTAACTTAATTTATTTTTTTTTAATTTTTTTAAATTAGTTAATTAGTTCTTATAATTAGGACCGGAAGAAGTATTACAGTAAAAGAGTTCTATCAAAGCACTATTATTGTAATAATTGGATCCCGATTGAAATGCGTGCCATGGCTATGTTTCGAAGTATTTCCCGTGAATCCTACGAAATTGATGATAAGTCTCAACTCTATAATCTTTGAAGTCTTGATCTACAAAAAGGCTGTACTGTCTTGTTCTGAAATTCGTCACCTTAAATGGATGTAAGAATTCAATAACCGTCTTGCGCTTGAAAATTTGGCTGCTGCGGTTGTTATATGTGAATCCTAGTCTGGGAATCTCTTATAGGAGTTCATTTTAGGCTCTGCTCGGTAGGGCAGCAGAAATATTCTATAAACATCTTTTATGTAAGTTGAGACAAAATTCTTTTTATATATTTATCTCATATTTTATAAATCATTATTAAAAAGTTATTTATAAATTGTTTTAAACGGGTCCGGGTTTGCAAAGTCAATCTTCGCTATAAAGAATTTTACATGGTTCCTCCCGGGGTCCTGCGATTTTGGTCGCGCAAATATCGCTTGCAGATGATGTTATGATGGCTTATGGGCCCGCCAGCTTTAATATTATTGTAATCACAGCATTGTGATTGAAAATGTCATGTCGTGACCCGTTGGCAATAGGGATTAAATTAGACAGATTAAAATATCGCTTATATTCATAACGGGAAGTTCTTAGTCTTAACGTTGGGATTGAGGTGAGCTTGAGTAAGGAATTCGTCGTTGATGTGTTCCTGTTGTCTTGCTGGGGCAAGAAATACAATGCTAGAAATAACCTCGTCACAGCAGAATCATCCTCATGCGCGACGTAATACACTAACATGGCCGCTCTTTTATTATTTGCTTGCCTTTCATCCATGGCATATTGGCCTTGTTGGTGTGTTTTCAATTTCCTGGTTGGTTAGCTACGTATGTAGTAAAACCTGCAACTATTTTACGGACATTGTATGGTTTATCATGGAATAAGCAGACCATAGTCCCGTCTGTATTTGAATCCTCTCTTTGGTTACTTTTGGTTTGGAACAGATGAATACATTCCTGATAGTGAACTCACTTGTGCGTGCGATAATGTTTTTCATTCATTATTGAGCTGCTCCAATTTTGATTGCGATTTTTTTTTTTTCCAGAAAGAGAAACCGGTATTTTCTTTTGATTCAGTGTACCAGGCCATTCATGAGGAAAAAGAAGAACGTTAGAGTAAGGATTATATTCATCCAAATATATAACATTCTACAAATGGATCCCTCTATACATTCTATCCTCCCCATGGGCGGGGAAGTTTTATGTTGTATGAAACTAGAACGAACGAATTTGTTTACATGTGTGACGAACAAATCAATGCTGCTGGACCCCCAATCCGATCAGCCTTGCTCCGAAGATGAAGCGGTGCTTCTTCGGTGAAGTCAAGGGTTGACAAAAACAAGAATGACGGGGCAACAACATTAATAAATAAGGTGGGTGGAATCTGGTTACGCCATAACGGAGTGGGCACATGTGAGAGTCTGAGAGTTCCTCCAAGCTCCACCGGAACGAGAGGCACCAGAGAGTGCAGCACATCTGTGATCAACGGTCTGTAACTTGGTTCTGGTTGCACGCACAGCACCGCCACCGCAGCAACCTGCGATACCAAACCGCATCTCTCATCATATGGTGCTTATCTGGAATATTTCATTTCAAAAGTAACCGAACAGACAATGGTTCCGAGGTTATGTTTCATATTTGAAACCTGGTATAAGTGCTTGAGGTCCATGGCGTCCTTGATTACAGGATCTACTATGTTTGGAAGCTTTGATCTGTCCGTGAGCTGTGGCATCGCCTGCAGAATTCATCATTGCCCGCCGTGTCTGTCACTTCCTCAGTGAAATTGACTTTAATCGAATTTTCGTAGGATCAGGGAAATAAAAACTCGTACCCATGTGACAATCGATTGGCAATGAGATGGTGACAGTTTTTCCACCGGCTTCCTTCCTAACAGCAGCTCCAGAAGCACAACCCCAAATGCATACACATCACTTTTATCAGTCAATTTTCCTGTCCAATACAACAAAAAACGCGTCAATCTCCTCAAGAAATATTTCAACATTTACTATTCACACCCAATAATTGACAGTTGCTTCGCAAAGAATCAATATTAAATCCCTAGCTTTCTGGGAAATCTGCTAACGTCTTCAAATCTGAGTCAGGATTCTCAAGAATCAACTCCACTTTACTTTTCTCGTGCTTCCTGACAAATTATCTGATCTCACATTTTGGTTGCTAGTCCCATCATATTCTTATCTATAAATGACAAGAAGCAAGAGGAGAAACCAAGGCATATGACACATGAGGCGCTAAGCTGCCAATCTAACTCGCAATCGAATTAAATAATATAAAGCGAATTAAATAATATAAAGCCGGGAGGTAGATGGCCAAGAAGAGCACCAGATCCACACAGGGCAGTATGTTTCAAACCCATCCAAAAACTCATGACATCATTTAAGTCCCTAAAGGCTCCAAACTTTTAAAAGAAACAACACTTTTGGATCTGGTTTTTGCAACGTTGTCAGACAGACCAGCGCATATGTCGTGAAACGATGACAATTACCAAAGTGAATTGGGTAGCTTACCATCAAGGAGATATTCAGGGGCAACGTACCCCAATGTGCCTGACAGCTTTATGTTACTCTTGCTTTGGAACCCATCCAATATGGCCAGCCCAAAATCAGACAGCTGAATCCACCAGAAAGGAGAAGCTCTGGTTAGTCCAATACGTTCAAATATCGTATGATTTTAAAATGATTAATAGTAAGAACTTAGGTACACCCAAATGGTTTTACCTTGGCATTGAAGTTCGCATCTAAAAGAATATTAGATGATTTCAGATCTCTATGGATCACTCGAGGTTTACGGTGCTCATGGAGGTATTCTAATCCTCTGGTCAACAGTCCTCGAATATGTTAATGATGTGGGAATCAAAGGACAATAAAAATGATCAGAAAATGAACGAAAGAGGCTCACCTTGCTGTATCAAGAGCAATTTTCATTCTCATATGCCAGGTCAATGCCGCACCATGAGAAGGTCCTTCAATGAGCAAAATCTCAGTCAAATCCATTTACTCCAAGGGAAATAAAGAATCAGATAATGAATTCTTTGAAGTTACCGTGCAACTGAGCTTCCAGGGATCCGTTTTGCATCAATTCATAGACAATGAACCTCTTGTCATCATTTTCGCTGCAACCGAGTATAGAAATTATATTTGGATGCCGGATTTCGCTCAACAAATTCACCTCGTTCTGCAATTTCATCTCACTAGTAAACACAAGAGAGATTGAATAACGACAAAGAAAAGCGATTATTAACCGACATTACCTCGAATTCTCTCTCGGCACTTTGAGTTTCACAGTGTAGTTTCTTGACGGCAACGTCCAGATTATCATCCAACCGAGCCTGGTAAACACATCCAAATCCACCCTGCCCCAGGATGTTACTTTCCCGGAAATTGTCGGTCGCTTTTTCTATTTGCTTGTAATCAATGATTGGAAGAGACCCTTTTTTCCCAACCACTTTGACAGAACTGAATTTACTTAAAAATGGAGCAAGCGCAAGCTCTTTCTCGGCGTCTTGGAATTGAAACAGAACAGAGAAGAACAGAGAAGAAAAATATCAGCCATATCACGATGCTACAAAATTTGAACTTTCCTATTTTTCCAACACCAAACAATACGGAGATTGAATAAACTGTACTACCTGAGTTAGGAACGCTTTTCCTATTAGATTTGGATAGATGCTTCCTACTATAAATCCAGAAGCACAAGAAGCAAAAAATGACTACAACGAGTGCTGTACTAACAACGGCGAGCGCTATTACCATCTTCTTGTGTAAATCCATTTGGTGTTCTTTGTTCTCTACCTGAACACCTGGATGATATGGGACGTATAATGCAGGAAGCATCGTCAAAATGGAAGGAATCTTACAAATTAAATCATTCAGATTTAGTAACTCAAGAGAGATTCAGCAGATGGGCAGAGTCCAAATAAGATTGTAAATATATTAAAAAAAGAGATAATAAATGTGGAATCTACAAATAGTTACAGCATTAAAGGTTGGAGTTTGGTTTTGCAAATTCAAATTTGAAAGTGGGTTAGTACCCGAAGAGAGACATAGGATGAAGAATGGTGAGTGAGAGCGGAGAGAGTAGAATGAGAAGTGAACCTGGGGAGGAAGCATCCATTGAAGAAGGAATTGAAGAATTAGCCTGGAGAGGGAGTGCAGGAGCAGGGGGGCCTGCTGAAGCATAAACAGAAACCGGTTCGTGAAGAAGGAGAAGCAGAAAAGGAAGAAGTTTGGTCTTCATTGTTTCTTTCAGGGGCGTCCTAATAACAACACATCAAGATAGAGATATGCAGAGAAGGAAAGGATACGAGACACACACACACAATTAGAGGGAGTTTTTGTGAGGCGTCTGAAAGGAAGCCGTTTTGGATCTTCTAGGCTAGACCTGCTTTTTCTTCTTTTTTTACTGTTTCGTTTTCTGGTCTTTATATTCTATCCTTCTTTGCACTATTTCTTTCTTCCTTCCTTCGTCTTTTTTTGGTAGCTTTTTTTTTTTTTTTTCCCTAACGTTGTTTGTGTGCAGTGTGATATTCTGAAACTTCACTTTCTGGTTTTCTAGGCAGAAGGAAAAGGGGTGATTTATGGACTGATTGGAACGCATCAATTCATGAACTTTTGGTGCACTTTTTTCTCACTTTATAATCTAAACAAATGCCTCGCCCTCCCCAGTAATTGAAAATTTTTAAAAAAGGCAATCCTAAGATTAACTGTTGAATTTATTATTAGCCATGAGTGCATCTCATATTAAAGATAATTATGATGGAGTAACAGGGAAATTATTTTTCATAAGAAGGAATTATTAATTTTTCCCATTTAATTAACTTGGTGGGGAAGCTCCAATCGTTGGAATAAGATTTCATAATTATTGGTATACCAAACAAGTCATAATGCTCATTGTAATGGGTAATCCCTACCAGTAATTAGGGATTAGCAGAATACATATTTCCCTCACCCAATCACTATGGTTCCTTCCGCAATGCTTTTGTTATAAATGTCAATGATATTACACGCGCGCGCGCGCACACACAGCTCCCAATTAAAAAAATAGAATTCTAAGTAAAGGAAGCATTGGTTTGAAAAGGGAAGTTCCATTGGGAGGGGTTTAAGCAGAAAAGAATACCAGTTGGTCACGTGTTTGGTGGATTATGGATTTGAACTTTGAAAATGAGCGCCGCTCTCCAAGTTGTGTACCCTTTTCTGTCTCAGTGAGTGTTCATATTAAGAATTATTTAGTATAATTATATGTATATTATTACGTAATTACGTATTTAGCTAGTGTGAGTAGCAGAGAATTGGGACAGCACTTTGTATGTAATAAACGACGATTTAGTAGACGACAACTTACTTTCTCAAAAGTTTGGTCCCTGAGGATCATGCTCCCCCAACCTCCATCTTCTGTTGCTTGCTTCACTTTCATTGTTAAAACTTTTCAACTTTATATATTGCGATCCTAACTTTGTTGCAGCTTTAGTTCTGTATGTATATATGCATGTATAGAACAGAAGGAACGTATTTTAAGGCAGAGACTTCTTTTTCTGGGCATTCTAGTAAGGATTTGAAATACCTTTGGTTGCGGACTATCTTGGTTACGCACAGAAAATGACATGGTTGAATTTTAGTGATCATGATGCCTTGAAAACTGAAGGCCTTTTACTTTACGGTTCCTCTCCTTATCTCTCTTTCTCCACAACGTTACGAATGAGGAATATGAATTTCGAATTAGCTGAATAAAGAAGGCACACATGACACTGACCAAATTATGATTAAACTGGATGGTGAATTTTGATGGTGGGACAGTAATAGTTAATGTTGTGGGAATCACACGAGCATATGTAAGGTGCTGGTATTAATGAATGAAACGAGGGGTGTGTGGAAAGCAATGAATTGAACTGGGACTTGAATGATTGGGGCGATGGAGTAAGTAGAGAGCACCAATAGTAGAATGGAACAGCTTGGCTTTGTACGTCCTTGTTATTTTATAAAGGCCTTAGGCCACATGTCCTGATTAATTATTTGCTTCTTTAATTAATTTGGTCAGGCATTGATGATTGCAACTCCATTATATGAGTGAGTGCGAGAGATAAAGACGTGAACCATGACAGGGCAGAAGCATTGCATTGTGCCATTCTTTGACTAGGAATCCATATCCAGATCCATAACAAGAGAGAGCGCCTAATAGCTCTATATATCTCTTGCTCTTTTTCATTTGCATGCATTTCATTTGCGTGCATTTCATTTGCTCATATCAAATACTCTCTCCGATTCAAAATATAAACTAGACTTTATCTACTTACGTTTATCAAGAAACTAATTAAAATCAATTTAAAACAATAAATGTGTAAGATATATATTTGTTTTTCCTAATATACTCTTATTAACGAAGAGAATAAATAAAAGATATAATAAATGAATTAAAGAGGAAAAAGAACATATATGGGTAAAATTGAAAAAAAATTTAAATGTTTGGATAAAAGTGAACGTTATCTTATAAAAAAATAATTCTTTTAAGAAAGTTTAGTCTATATTTTAAACCGGAGGTAGTATCAATTTTTTTTTTTAGTATCATTCATCTAATAGAAAAAACTCACGCACTCATGGTATTCATAAAAAATCAAATACATGACATCATGCTTAAATAAAACTTAATAAGAAAGTGTTTAGTGTTAGTTGAATTTTCACAACATCAAATATCAATTTAATATTCTTAAAATTAATGCCCCAAAACAATGAACAAATACACTGAAATCAGTCTTAAGTTGACCCTACAACTCAATTTTAATACACCCTTCATGTGGCATATTTATTCTTACCTAATTTATAGATGCCTCCATTAATTTTTCATTATTTCTTTTTTATATTAGCAGGGTTTGAACATATTTCAAATTATCCCTGTCATCTAACTTAGTCCCCAGTGGCTTAATATTTCTTACTTTATGATTAAATATTTAGCGGAGAAAATGATATGATGTAAAAAGAAGTAATTAATATTGTCTTGTGTCTTTAAAAGGATAAATTAAGGTAAAGGAGAAAATCTTAAATTTTTCAACAGAGTTTTAACCAAATTTAGGAATTTAGTGTTATGAGGGGTAAATTAGTAAATAGAAAGTATTTCAATATAAATTTTAATTAAAATACTTTTTTTAGAATATTTTTAATGGAGTTAACGGTTTAAACTTAAATATATACTTTTAAAATAGAGGAAAAATCCGTGTAATTAAGATAAAATATAAAGGATGTTAGAATATTTTATGTTTATTCTTAAAAAACGTTAGGGGAAAAAAAGAAATAAAAGAGAAAAAGAAAAAATTGAGGGAATATAACTACACATGCTTCAATGTGCATCCAGCTAGCTTCATGATTTAATTGCATCCCCTTGCTCAACTAAAATGCCAAATAACAATAATTGGTGTACTGAATGACACATCGTTAATTCTAGTGAATAAAAAACTGATTTGGATCGGCCGGTCAATGAACTGGTTCGGCTTGGATACTAAATCGGGAGGGAGTTGAACCGGTAAAGAATCGGTGAAAACTAGTAAAAACCGGTATGAACCGGTTTAAATGATTAGGTTGTTATTAGTACTATTTTTTTTCTCATGCAGCTCCTAATATATCAGTCCCTATAGATTTAAATGAATTTTAATGGTAATTTTGGTATCAATGATTATTAATGTTAATTAATGATGAATCATAAAGATCAAAATTCTCAATGTTGTTATACTTTGTTATTATTACAATCATATTATTGTCATATTTTCTTATATTTTGTTATTAATAATTGTTAATGTTGTTATATTTTGTTATTTTTAATTAAATTATATTATTTTAATATGACCGGTTGGATCCCGAGTTGATCCCGATCCGACCAACTAACTCTTGAACCACTGCCTTAACCAGTTCATTGTCCGATCCGGGTTTTTGTTCCTTGGTTAATTCTTTTATACCTAAACATAAATATAATATATAAATGAAGTTACGTACTGAATTGAATACGGGACTTGAGATCAATACAAATTCAAATAAAACTGGATAAAAAAATTATAAAAAATTAACTAACAATAAATTAAATAACAATAACAAATTATTTAAAGTGACAAAATAAAATTAAAAATGATATTATACAACTAAGTTTCATAATCTTTTTCAACACCAATAAATTATTAACTGAAAATTGCAACACAATCATTTGTCTGTTTTATTTTTTATTTCTATCTCCTTATTAATCGTCTAGAAGCAATAATATACTTATTTTTTGATCCATCATAAATTTCTAAATAAATAGTGTGTGCGTACCCGCGTATTGACTTGACTTCAAATAATAAATGAATTAGTGGCTTAGGTTATTAGGGTTCCATGCTATGCCGACACGGCTAAAATACAAACAAGGAAGCAGAATTCAAATAAAATTATGTTCATTCCTAGTTGGAGTGCATCCGCGAGGAGAATCTACTATTGAAATCAATGTAATGCATTGAAAAGCAAATCTTTCAACATCGATCTCAAATTGAGTCAAATGACAGCTCATGAGGATTGCTTCAGCTTCTCTTCCACAAGCTCAATACAGCGGTACAAAACCAACTCAAGTGGATTCAGCGTACATACAGTGTCAATTGCAAGCTGATCATAGTCGTTTTTATTCTCCGCCATTATGCCTGTCACTAAGGTACGCAAAGGAAGCAGCCATTCATTGTAGGCTTTCTGCAGACTGCTCCTGGACATAACCCCAGTGTGGTTTGTCTTCCCTGTTTCAAGTTAGACTTACATTACATTTAAGTCCGATATCAAAATTCACCCCAAAAAAAAGAAAAATCACACTTTCAAACTAATGATAGCTTTGATTCGACCTACCTGTAGATTCAGTCATCAGAACAAATCTATATAGGTTCAGGGCTGATAAAACCTGGGGCACGCACGAGTTTCAGTAACTTATAACACAATGATGTTATTTGAAAACCCAAAACGGAAATGAGAGAAATGAGGACGGCATTCTCAAAAAGCTGCACTGTAACAACCAGCATTGAAATCTTTAACAAGAACCATCTAATCCACCCCCCACCCCAAAAAAAAAAAAAAAAAGCAACCCCAAATATATATATATATATATCTCAAATATATATATCAATCACAAAAGCCCATTAAAAAGTACGAATACCGCATCACCCTGCTCAGGGAGGGAAGGAGGTCCCCCCTGTGGTGGTCTCAGAACCAACTCCACCAACTCAAGGACACTAGGAGTCCAGAATGACGTATTTGGACGTGCTTTGCCTTCAGTTTCCGGAACTTGATTTTCTGTTGGTGTGCTATGGCAGACTTCCATGTGCATTTCCTTCCTAACTAGATCGATGAAAATGGCAACCTCCAGAAAATTACATGCAAGCATAGATTTAACATTAGACAGTCATTTAAGTAAAGAACAAAAAGTTCAACAAAGCAGTTTTGGAGCGTTACCATGGAGGAAGAGTTGGTGTCTCTAATCAACGCTTGCAAAATGTCAAATCTTTGAGAAATGGGAATATCATCAAGTACCTAGCTTTGAAAGGCATACAAATAATGGCATTAAAGATCTCTTTACAAAAGATGAGCTTAAACATTGAAGGGCTTAAGAAATATTTCTCCGGTCCCAAATATAAGACCCACTTTGTAGTGTAGTCCTAAATATAAAACTCACTTTGTAGTGTAAATTATATTACAAAGTGGGTCTTATATTTAAGACCGGAGGAGTATTCATCTTTTACTCACTTGTGAAGGACGCACATCTCATATTTTATGGTAAATTATCCACACTTCCAACTGAAAAAGGCATGGTATAATGTCAGAAACTCAATGTCAGAAACTCACCCTTTTTAACAAATCAAAGGATTTCTTCCTATATTCTGGGTCTGGGGCACACATGATAACCATTTTGATGGCCTGAAAAATAGTGTTTGATCATCAGAGATGAAATACATCAGCGTTTTCTTCTTCTCATAGAAAAAGAAGTAGGAGTAAGCATTGGTACACAAAATTGAGTCAGGAATCTATGTGAACCACCTGCAGAGCTGAGAAAACATTAGGCATGTAAGCTGACCACTCATAAAGTTCAACATCATATTTATCGGATACATGCCCATCAATGACACAGAACAAGAAGTTGATGGTCTCTCTCTTCAACTCCCATGGCAGATTTACAAAGGAAAGCACATGCTTCAATGTTCCTAGTGCTTCCCACCTTTTGGTTTGAGAACAACGAAGTTCAGTCTTGATGGCATCTAAATACTCTTTAGTAGCTTCAGAAACTTCTTTTGAGACATACCCCCAAATTACTGGAAGGATGGAATTTTACTGGTCAGCAGTGAAAAGGAAATAGCATGAAAGAGAAAGGCAATAGATCAACTACAAGCAATTTTCTTTACAAACCTGAAAGAGCAGCTCCGTGTTTGACATGTGATAAGCAGCCCATATAGTCGTCTTTATCCTCTGCATAATGAAGGGGTATGAATAAAAAACATTAGGAGGGGTAAAAGGTGCTTGGCTGCTCGTTTCATAATGGAAATAAATAAATATCAGGCACGCAATGACCGAAGGTAACTACCTTCAAATACGAAGCTAGCCACTGTGTTGACATTATAACTGGTCAGGAGATTCAGATATGATAATCCACAAAATAAAATAATGTGTGATAGTTGTATAACCAATGAGTAACTCGTGGAAGAGTTATAGCTTCCACTGGCTGAAAGAAGAGCCTGGGTTTTAACAGTGCATCATAACATCATTTATACAAATAGATGAAGTGAGATGGATTCACGATACGGAAGGCAAATAGATACAAATAAGAATCAAAGTTTAGTGCAGGAGAGAAATACTGACCATGCATTGCAGGGCATACAGACCTAGAAGAGCACGAAGTTTCTCATTCATACCACACTCCTGTTTTGTCCCCCAAAAATAAAAAAATAAAAAATAAAAACTGTAAGCAAACATTTCACATAAATTAGCAATATAGAAGCCTTCCTAAGAAAATGGAAGATTTACGATTCACAAACCATCTTAGTGCATATTGCATGTACAGAGTTGGCGATCTCGACAACTTTGCCAAATACACCCTCAAGTTGTGCTTCATCTGTCTGTAAAGACATATTCTTCAAAACATTAAGAATGATCGGAATGGCTTCTTTTATTTGCTCAAACTGACGCCTCTGAATAGAGATGAAGACTGAAAAGGCAAATTGAGAGTGAATAAAATTTTACATGCAAATAGGCTTCAATATTTTAGATACAATCAGACAAAAGATTAAAAGAAATAGATGTGCGAAGCTCGTGCATCCTTTCATGCAAGAATCTCTTTCAATCCATCACTTGGATGTATGACCAAAATGCTGCGAACATGACAGGGCATCTAACCCTTTTAAAACTTATCTGAAGTCGACTAATTTTGGTGGTAAGCAAAAAGCACAGGGAAAACAAATTATGACTTCCTTCAATTGTCGTGGGATTCAGTTGTCTACAGTTTATTATATAATCTCAAATTGGGGGCAATTCAGGCTGTCGATTGAAAAACAAACCAGGGAAGCCGGGGTCAGAACTCAGAACATGTGATGAATCCTTTACAGCTAGTGGGTAAGTTACTCATTTTCATGATAACAAATAGTAGGTTGAAAAAATGCATTCAATTATTGGACACAAATTAAAATTTCATTTATTCCACTCAATAATTGAGATTTTTTTTTTTAATTGATAAACCTCATTGATGGAAATTTTGCTACAATGGATTACCTTTCGAGAGTCCACTTAAAGGAGGGACTACATAAGCGGAAGCTTCAGCCATCTTACTTGAGTAGCCTAATGCCTGTCATAATGAAATCAGCAGAAGCGTAGGATCAAGATAAAAAACCCATAAAGTTTAAGCTACGTGGCAGTTGTAATGACCAGTGAATCTTGGCAGGAAACTATGACATGATAAAAGCAAAGTCAATACTTATGGCCATTCGGACAGATACATCATTCGAGTCTAAAAGAAGTGGGGCGAGAGAGGTGAAATTTAAAATACAGGTCTACGGAAATCTTGTGAAGGTCTACGGAAATCTTGGGGTTCAATAAACGTCATAAAATAGGAGGGAAAGGATCTCAGTCTAAGGTAACACTATACACAGGAGCCGAAGAGGGTGTATTTGTAACTGTAGCAATATTTAAAAAGCATAAGGTGATACGACTAATCTACTTCACCTCTACCTATGTGGTCAATGAATATATCAACTATGTAAATCAAAATTATTTAAATAAATACATAAAAACTCACATTGCAAAGAATTGGAAGCATGTCTCTTGGACCGCACATCACTATAAGCTGATCAATTATGCTAATAGCCATGTCTGATAATCTTAGTGATACGGCTGCAAACTTTGAAACAGCCTTGGGCAATTCAAATGACAGCACATCTACAATTGCCTATTACTTCAACAAAAATCATTAAAATCACTGATAATAGTACAGGAAGAATAACTTTGCAAGGTTCAAAAAAGGCAGCCTAAAAATAACAAATGGGTTCAAGTATGGTATAAACATTTTAACTCTCGCCGTTAGTCCATTAAAAAGCTCTCGTCCTAAATGATCATTGAGAGGCTACCAATTGACATGCCTTCTTGATATTCAAATGGTAACTTAATACTTAAGTGAACCCACCTGATCAAGCGAAGGAGAACAGATATATCGATAGATCTCAGAGACAACTTCAAATGCATTGTTCTCTTCCCGTTCATTGCCTGGAACAGATTGAGCAGCATCTAATACAGAATCCAGAAGCTTGACGAGCTCGGAGATGGCATTTTCATATTGGTGGAAATCTTCAGCTTCATTGAGCTGTAAGGTATAAAATTAAAATCAGAACAGTTAACAATAAGCCCTCAGTTCTTAGACATCAATTTTCCCTCCTTCAATTTCTTGACACTGCAAAAACTTCAATAACATACGTAAAAACAAATGAAAGATACATTGACTCTCTTTTTATGACTAGCAAATTGTTCAGGCTACTAAACACATTCTCCTATAAAATTTTGCAGCGTATTCTATTGGGAGTATAACCTAAAGATAATGAGAAACATAAAATCGCACTACATACCGTTTCTCCCCAGTTGCCCACTTGCCCGAAAACTTAATTCAAGACATTCATTTATAATCCAACGGAGCCAGCGTTTCAATAGTGTTAATCAGCATGCAAGCATGAGTTTTTCGCATTTCTCTAGGTTCCAAGGTTACACAAAATTACTTCCTCCACATTATTAGGAACTAAAATCTAAGAAGGCAATCCTACTTGAGAGAAGGTTTCAAGAATTCCCCGAAGGCGAAGCACATCATTCCGAGCTACAGTTCCGCTCTCTTCCTTTGCTGACATGATGGTGAAACCGTTCACAGTATAGGCAAGATGATCGGTATCAAGCACCCTCCTTTTTTGCAGTGGCTGATAGTGAACCTTAGTCGAAAAGGATCTTTCTTGGTTGATGAGGATAGAGAGCTGTTGCTGCTCTTCCTCTCACTACGCGATAAAGAAGCAGAGTTCTGTTATAGATGTGGCATCGATTCCTCAACCAAAAAGAAAATCTTTAGTCTTGCTCGTTTCGGTTTCTCTGGTCTCGCCTCTCACTTCACTTGGTTCATTTTCTTGTGGCGCACTGGTTTTATTTCTTTCCTAGCGGGCAGTGACGAGAAGGAAACGATGTGGGCAATTAGTCATTTAAACATTAATGAAGGGTACATGTGTCATTTCGCATCTTCGCATCACATAAACGCTGATCTCGCCCCCTGAAACCACCAGCGGCTGGTGCTTCCGTTTCCATCATCTGCATTGTCATGGAGCCGGACGTGAGCATTGAGAGCTCGTCGAGGATCCAGGTGGCGGTACTGCCGATCGGGACGGTGCCGTCGAATATGCTGCGGGACTACTATTCTATGTTGCTTCCTCTTCACACGATACCTCTTTCGGCAATCAGCTCCTTCTACACAGAGCACCAGAAATCACCGTTCGCTCATCAGCCATGGGACTCGGGGTTCCTCCAGTTTAAATTTGTTCTGGGAGGGGCGCAACCAAGCCCATGGGAGGACTTCCAATCTCATCGTAAGACCCTGGCAGTCATAGGCATTTGCCATTGCCCTTCCTCGCCCGATCTCGATTCTGTCATCGAACAATTTTCTAATTCCTGCAAGTCTTACCCTTCATCGCTTGTCGAGCGCTGCTTTGCATTCTGCCCAGATGATTCGCAGGTGGGGGTTTCTATATGTGCATTTTACCTTTTTTTGTTCAGTTGGAACATAAAATGGTGGATCGGGAAAGATGAAGAATTTTATTGGATCTGCTTCTTTTCTTTAATTATCCTATGTTTTGACTGCAGCTTGAGGATGGAGGTAAAAAGGGCGGTAATTTAAGGTTGTTTCCCCCTGCTGATCGTCAAACGCTGGAGTTCCACTTGAATACTATGATGCAAGAAGTGGCTGCCTCGTTGTTGATGGAATTCGAAAAATGGGTGCTTCAGGCTGAATCTTCAGGCACCATACTCAAGACCCCTTTGGATTCTCAAGCGAGTCTCAGCTCAGAGGAGGTTCATGTTTAGGTGTCCTAATTATTTGCATCGTTTATTTTTCGTCCTCGAAGTAGTGTTCTAGTTTCCATTTCTATCTGTTGTTTTCTGTGACAATATCGACTTAATTCACCTTGAAATTTGGTTTATATTGCAGGTCATCAAGGCTAAAAAGCGAAGGCTTGGGCGTGCACAGAAGACAATTGGTGATTATTGCTTGCTGGCTGGATCGCCAGTTGATGCAAATGCCCATTATTCTACTGCATTGGAACTTGCCAGGTTGACCGGCGATTACTTCTGGTATGCCGGCGCGCTGGAGGGGAGCGTTTGTGCCTTGTTGGTATTCCTCTTATTTCTTCTGTATGAATTTCTTTTCTTTTGTTTTGGTTTTTGGAATTCCCATCCCCTACCGATAGTAATGGTCGTAATTCTATGATAACGCTTGAAATGATTTTTCTTATCTTATCTCCTTCGGTAATTAATGATGTGTTTTATGTTTTGAACGCTTATTGAGGTTATGCGAGATGGTACCATGTAATTATTTATTCATCCACTTGAATTAATGGCTTGTTACGTGTAGAATTTTCTCTGTGCAGACTTTCAAATGCTTTTTGTAGAGCATCAATTACTAATTAGCATTAACAAAAGCAGGAACAAGTAGCAAAAACTCCCATTTGTTAATTTGTACTTCTGTCAAGCATGGTCTTAATGTTCAACAGAGAAGGAATATTTTTGTATTCAGAAGACCATCTTATGGAAATAATTTATGGTTTTAGATTGATCGCATGGGCCAGAAAGATTCAATCTTGGAGGAGGAAGTCAGATACCGTTACAACAGCGTAATTTTGAATTACAAGAAGTCACAAGATAATGCTCAGAGGTAACCATGTGTTTGAGATTCTGTTAGCCAATCTTTGTTGAAGATCTGTTTCGCTTCTTCTGGATTGTTTCAGTTGTTGGCATTTTAGACCTGTTGCAGAGCTTTCTAACTATTTTTTCCTTATATTTGCAGAGTCTCTCCCCTAAGTTTTGAACTTGAAGCTACTTTGAAATTGGCAAGGTTTCTTTGCAGGTAGGTGCTTTTGCCAGACTTTTACAATGTGATAAATGTGACATGTTTGTCCTATATGCACAGAATGCTAATTTTTGAAGGTTGCAGATGTCATGTGCTTGAACCTTTATAAATTCTGTCTCAGTTGTTTAACTTTCATAACTGTAGAATTTCTTACATCTGCTGCATAAAAACTGTTGAAATTATGTACATTGGGTGTCTCAACAGGTACCATTAAAGCATTTGTGGTCTTGTGTTACATCAATTTGTTTGCCACTCTTTTAAATTTTCGTCAAATCTCATTTGAATTCTCTTAATGAACAGGAGAGAGCTGGCCAAGGAGGTGACGGAGTTGTTGACCAATGCTGCAGATGGTGCCAAATCTTTGATAGATGCCAGTGATAGACTCATACTGTTTGTTGAAATAGCTCGTTTATATGGCAGTCTTGGTTACGAGAGAAAAGCTTCTTTTTTTACAAGGCAGGTTGCTCAGTTATATCTGCAGCAAGATAATCGGTTGGCTGCAATTAGTGCTTTGCAAGTTTTGGCACTAACCACTAAAGCTTATCATGTTCAAAGTAGAGCATCAGTATTTGAGAAATCTCTACCTAACGTGAGTTTACAAGTGCCAACCTTCGGGAAAATTTTTGTGGCATAATTCTTTAATTAGTGACTGAGAAATGATCATTTTTTGCAACGGAAGTTTACTTTTTGATTAAAATGCTGCATATGCTTTCAACCTAGACACAATTGATTACTATGATGGTCATCATCAATCCCTCTTACTGTTACTTCCTCTATCATATTTTGTATTAGTTAACTGAGTTTGAAACTACTACACTCCATCCAATCCTTGGCTTTGAGCTTAAAGCTATTATTCTGGTCAAGGCTGTTGCTGGTTATAGAAGTTTACTGTGAGACATAAGGGTTATGAAATGTTCATGATGCTCAACATTGCATACAATTCCAAGATGGATGTTTGCATTGACAACTTCAGGCTTATTTTCTGGCGGTAAGGCATGAGGGCAACCATAAGTCAGGACTTTGCATAGCAAGCAAGAATAGAGAGCCTACTGTCCACTGAGAATCTTTCAATCTATTTATCAAATGAAGTTAAAGACATAACATGCAGCAGGAGAGTTTCACCTTCTTGTAACGTATTTGTTTGATTTGTGCTACTTTCTTAATAGTCAAAGCCACTGAAGAGTTTATCTGGAGATCCTTTTTTTTTTTTTTTTTTTGGAATTGTTGATTTTGATGGTAACTATTTTGACTCTTGGCAGAGGAACTATTCTCTACGGTTTAGTGGGGCTTATGGGAGATTTGTAGGTTTTGAAATTAAAGATGTGGAATGAATCGTAGTGGTTTTTGATTTACCTAAATGCTTACATGCCTAGGCTATCATCTTTTATGATGTTAACTTCTATAATCTAGGTTATCATCCTTATGTAGTGTTAACTTCTTGTAATTTCAAGAGGTAAGGAAAAATCATTAGCTTAGATCAATAAATAGGAACATTCATGCAGAAAGTCTGAAGATTTCTTGTCAAGCCTTGGGCTGGCAGAAGAATGAACGTCATTTTTCCCAGTCAAACAGATGTTTATAAACCAATCAATGTGGTTTACTCTATATCTTGTGTAAATTGTTTGTCATTCTCGATGATTTTTTTCCCAAATACACAGGTCTTAAGAGACATTTTTATTTTTATTTTATTCTACTAATTGTAGGGGTGAAAAGCCTGGCATGAAAATATTGCATGAAGTCAGAGACTCAAATTGATCGTTTTGAGACCTTTTTGATAGGTTTAAATAACTCACTCTGTTCTTTTTTTTTTTTAATAAAAGTTGTCGTGTGTTTCACAGAAGGGAATCGGATCAAGTAATGCAGATGGTGGGAAAAAGTATCCCCAATCAGCAGTCTCACTATTTGAGTCTCAGTGGAGTACCCTTCAGATGGTGGTATTAAGAGAAATTCTGCTTTCTGCTGTTCGTGCTGGAGATCCTCTGGCTGCGTGGAGTGCAGCTGCAAGACTACTCAGATCTTATTATCCTCTAATTACTCCCGTTGGGCAAAATGGCCTAGCTAGTGCACTTAAAAATTCAGCTGAAAGGCTGCCACCAGGGACTCGTTGTGCTGATCCTGCCTTACCTTTTATAAGGTGTTTATTTGGTTATGGTGTCTATGCCTGCATTCTGTATTATAAATGAGTATATCATTTCATTCCCATAGAAAAAATAAGCCAGAATAAAGTATCAAATTTATTGACAGAGGTAATTTGTTTCCAAATATTTACATATAAAACGTCTAAATATTAATGACTTGTTATTGTATTTTGGCTTTTTTCATTTGTAAAATGAGTATATTGCTTCACTAAACAATGTGTGTTTCTCCATTTTTATTAATAATTTCTTCTGGTATTGTTTTTGAAGTAGCAATTCTGTCATTAATGTGTTTCATGAACTGTCTCACCAAATTTGCATCATAGTGGAAATCTGATCAATTTGCACAAGTTTCCTGGAAACTTTCTATATACAATAGCTGGTCAACAGTGGGTCACAATAACTGGAGGATTTTATGCACTAATTGCTCGCCGAATCCTTTAGAGAATATGGAATATTGCTTAGTAGGGACCATATTGTTTTTTTTTTTTTTTGGGCTTTCTAATAATGAATATTTATGTTTAATGATGCAAATTTTGGACAACATACTCAGGCAGCCGTTTGATCATTGATTGCTTTCAGGTTACATTCTTTTCCTCTCCATCCAACACAAATGGACATTGTAAAACGCAACACAGCTAGGGAAGACTGGTGGGCAGTTTCTGCTCCTTCAGGCCCTTTCATTTATACCCCATTTAGCAAAGGAGAGTCCAATAATGCTAAGAAACAGGAGCTTATTTGGATTGTTGGAGAGCCTGTCCAGGTCTTGGTGGAATTGGCAAATCCATGTGGCTTTGATTTGAAGGTTGATAGCATCTATTTGTCTGTGCATTCAGGAAATTTTGATGCTTTCCCTGTGAGCGTTAGCCTTCCACCTAATTCATCAAAAGTGATCACCT